AAATGCATGCATCTGTTTCTACTTTCTCCAACAGTAAGTAAATAGTAGAAAATTTGAATTGTTCAACTCCGGGGTTGGGGGTAACTCAGCCTAGGCAAAAAAGCGGCTGCAAACAAGAATTGTGCCTCCATGGATCTTTAGAGAAACGAGGACAAAAACTTGTCGAACGACAAAGGAAAAACATCTTTTGGTTATGTGCATCGTGGTTGAGTTTTGAAAATTCCGTCATCTTAGCTTTTTATTCTGTCTGTCATCTATTCCAAGACAATAACGTTGTAGGATTTTAGTTTAGCTTCTTCATTTCTTGGCCATTATCAACATACACTATGGATTTGCATTTCTTCTCATTACGATGTTGTTTTTCGCTCATGAATTTTATCGTTTTAACAGTTTTGATATATTGTATCGAATTAAGATAAAATATCTTACCTCGGGTATGAGTCTACTTCACATTTATCCTAGTGCCAAGACAGTATGCAAAGTTCTTTGTCGAGGTCTGCCTAGTCGCGTTCCCCATAACTTCGTTCACAATATGAAATTTATTTTCTTTCAAGAATAGTTTTAGAAAGGAAAATCAAACTTACAGGGAGATATATCTTGATTTTATATTGGAAGTGTGGTAGTTTTATTCTAATTGGATTACTGCTGTCATATTTGTAATGGTGCTGTCCAGTCATATCTTAGATTATCCTCCATCCTGCAATCCTTATACGACAGGAAAAACGTCTCACTACTATATCTCTAGTACTATGGCAGATATTCAAACGAATTAATCCTTGGTACTACCAGCTCAGATCTTCACAGTTAGGATTCACCATACGATGTTCATATCAAACCATTCCAATTCCTTTCGTGTTCCTTAGATAAAAAAAAAATAATTCCCCCTCAAACAGCTTCTCTTCCAGAACTGCTACTTTGTGGAACGAAATCCTGAGAGAATGCTTCCCTGATAACTACAATCTTGGTCTCTTTAAGTTCGGGTTCAACCGATATCTATCTTAATCATTATAGTCCTGGGTATGATGATGAACTATTGCAAGGCTTCTGATCGTAAACTTAGATGTCTTGAGGAGCGTGAAATCACCTCTGAATGGCTGTTATTCCCAGGTACGACCTTACTCGGGGCGGTAGCCCCTGTTAGGGTTCCTGCTTTGGGCAAATACTGAACCCAAAAATCAAATACTATGGAAGTATAAAAATACATTTTTATAGTAAAAATACATTAATATATTATTATATAAAAAATTAACTACAATACGTATTTATAGTAAAATTACCAACAATACATTTTGTTAGTAGTTGAAGACATACAATTACCTTCAAAATATATTTAATTGAGGCCATAACACTTTAAAAGTATTTAGATTTCAGCATTAAATAGCCCATTGAAGTGTTAATATGCAACTAAACCAAATCAAACAAACCAACAAATCATCGTAAATTTAGTGTCATATGTCTTAGTCCTTAGTCTACTTTTCTTATTGTTACATAATTTTCGTAATAGATTTTCAGATTAACTTACCATTGAGTAATATAGACTGCGTGCACAACTCTTTGTTTAGTTTGACAATTTCCCGCCGTGTCTGTGTAAGTTTGATCAGAGACAATAACTGAAAATGCAATAATAACAGTTAGGGTCTGATGTTCAAGATTTTCAGAACAGTAGTGAATTCACTCATATGCTCGATATTGTTGTACAGTACGATACGTGAATGAGAGAGAGAGAGAGAGAAAGAGAAAGAGAGAGAGAGAAAGAGAGAGAGAGAAAGAGAGAGAGAGAGAGAGGGCCAATAAAAAAGACACAAAGAAATATAGATCAAGAGAAAGAAACAGTCAAAAACGGAAAAAATAGAAACTTAGATAAATGTAAAGAAGGTGAGACAGAAATACAAAGAGAATATGAGATAGGGAAGAAAAAATGAATATTATTCGTTGAAAACCCCTCTTACTATGAAAGCTGAAAATTTATGAGTGAAAAATAAAGTCCTTGAGTTTGGTTTTGCATCCATATTTACACATAATGGATTGTCGATTTACATTTATACACACTGAATAAATGAACGAGCAACTGTGAATATATTAATTTATAGCTAAACAAATGTGCATATATATATATATATATATATATATATATATATATATATATATATATATATATATATATATATATATATATAATTTTATTCAATTCTTCAGTCTCTAAAAGTTTGTGTCCTCTTCTCACAGCCAGCCGTCCTCAAATTGGCGCCCAAGGAGCAATCGGTTGGCCCAAGGCGTATTCAACCAATCAACATGATCTACTCAGGCGGTCTGCATTGACGGATCGATTGGTTCGGAGGGAACCGTGAGATTTTCGCGCCTTTCAACGAGCAGGCGGGAAACAAGAACCCTTGGTGAGGTCGGCGTTGGGGTGAATGCTAAGAAACGATGGCGAAGAAATGAACGTAATGGTGGCCGGACGCACAGCTTGTTGGCGGCCATTATTTTATCCGATATTGATCTGATTTCCCGTGCCTAGTCTTATATACTAGCCTTGCCATTCACTCCTCTGACTGGTAAAGTCGACCTCTGACCAGGCACCACTCGGCAACACGTCCCAGTTCTTTTTCATTGCTTACATTCGTTGTTGACGACCGTTTGGCTACTGTTTCTCTACCGACCCAGCATCTGTCGGTAGGGTCATGATTTTCGTCGTCTGACTTTGTTAACTTCAAAAAGGTGAAAGAGACCAAGAATGGGGAGGTATTAAAAGTTCGAGAAAGAAGCAAAATGTAAAAGAAATATAAAAGATGGAGAAGAAGAAAAGTAGAGAAAAATCGGCAAAGAAAGAGAAATAAAAATGAGAAATGTAAAAAAGAGACAGGCATATTATAATGTTATAATACGCGCATAAGGAGAAGAGAAGAAAGAAAAGAGTAGAAAAAAAGCAAAGTGCAAAGATAAAATGGAACACAGTAGATAGAGAAGGAAAAGAAATGAGAGAAATGAAAAGGAGGTGGAAAAAGAAGAATGAATGAAAGAAGAAAAATAACAAAAGAAGGCATATAGAAAAAAAATCAAAGAATGAGAGTTAAGAGAAGAAAAAATCAAGAGAAAAGCAGCAAAGAAGAAAAAATAGAAGAGGAATAATAGTAATAGAGACAGAAGAAGAAGAAAAACGTGTTATGGAAGAGAAGTCGGAGCAAGAGAAAACGAGGGAATAAATGCAAAATTGACAACAAATAAAACGGTGTATCCTTACGAACATTTTTCTACCATTTTGTTTTGCCTTTCGCAGCGTGAAAAAATTGTTCCTTTTTGGGGCTCAAACGATTGAAGATTTTTCTTTCATTTATTGATTTCCTCGGCAGATTTTCTTGAATACGCAACGTGTAAATGTTCCGTTCATGGATTTCCTTACTTTTTCTTAAAATATCTATCTATCTATCTATCTATCTATCTATCTATCTATCTAAATCTCTTCACATTCAGTTATTTATTAATTTTTTGTTTATAATGGTTATCAACACTTCTCATTCTTCATTCTTTCTTACCTGTTACTCATCTCTCTGTATCCACACTCTTTTATGTTTCTCTCTCTCTATTTCTGTATGCGTATATATATATATATATATATATATATATATATATATATATATATATATATATATATATTGGGCAGCAAGTATTCAGCCAGACAAGTTTGATAAAAAAGAACTGACAAGGTCTGTCTGTTTCATTTTTTATTATAGGTTTCCTACTTTCGAATAAGATGTTGATTATTATGTTCTGTTCGAAGTTCATATTTTTTTTTATTTTTGTTCTAGTACGTTTGACTTTCCAGTCATTATCAAGAACTGATGAGGTGTATGATAGCTTAAGTCCTTTGTCTGCATCTTGAACATATGAACATATGAACTTCGGATAGTTTATCCACACCTTCGATAATAATACTCAACATCATATAAATGTATGTTTATATGTATGTGTGTATGTATGTATGTGTCGTATACACTGAAAAGAATGCATTTTATGTCTGATACATTTGCATATTTAGTTGTGTACCGAACATCAGTGCCAGGGGTTAATGTTTAAGGGTAGGTAAATATATTAGATTTCAAAAGGTGATTTTCAAAAAAACACATACATACTCACACACACAAATATATATATATATATATATATATATATATATATATATATATATATATAGAGAGAGAGAGAGAGAGAGCGTGAGAGAAAGAAATTTACTAGTTTGAAATTAGTTTGGTGTAAGTTAAAAAAAAAGAGAAGGATTTGTGTTGCACTCATCTTCTTACATTCTAACTTCTTCCCCCATTCAAGCCACACAGATCTCTATAGCACAGTCTCTGTTCACGATAAATATTGCTGTTGTGGTTTCCATAGAAAGTAATAGAGTTGCTAGCACCATGTCCAATCAGTTTTGAATTCTCAGTTGGCCTTCTCCTAGACTGGACGCCGACGAAGAAAGATACCATACTATTTAACTCATAACTGAGTCGAGAAGAAATGAATTCATACTTTACCCAATGTTATTTGCGTGAAAATGAATGTAACTAACTCGACTGGAATTCAAATTTGGATCATAGATTTCTTGCTCAGAAGCGCCTACTGTTATACCAACTGCACATCGATTCCTGCTTTCTAGAGTCAGGTTTAATTTTTACCTTGAAGAGTGAAAGAAGATTTGCTGAAATGTTCAGGTCTGACCAAGATTGGATCTAAAAAAAGAATTTTGCTAATTACTCATTTATTTAGACTTAAGGATATTGGTGAGATTGAGAATTTTTTAGCATTCCCTCACACACAGACACACTCATACACCACGTGGATATGAACATTAGTGTGTCTATGTGTATTGTATGTGCGTGTATTCGCACGTGTGTCTGTGAAATAATTTTCACTTTTAAATAATACAATGTGAATATGAATGAAAATAAAATTACAGAAAATTGCATCATTTTTTTTCCTTCGTCTCATTTTTTTCTGCCATTCACAATTTAAAAAAATCGTATTATTTTCGTCGAGTGAAGCGATTGCAAATGTAATCCTGGGTGAATGTCTGTGATACGAAATGAAAAAGAGGAAAAAAGCTGAAGAAGTGGAAATATAATTTGCTGTCGAGAAGAGATAACAAAACGGCAGAGAGAGAGAGAGAGAGAGAGAGAGAGGTGGGGAGAGATAGGTAAAGCGAACGCTGATGGGTCGGGCATGAATCGATGTCGGAATGGTTCATTAGTTAATTCAGAGAAGGACAATAGGGAACCAAAGAAATAATAGCGGCACGGGAAGAAGTAAAATAAAAAAAAAGATAAAAGAAAAGAAAAGAAAAAAAAGAAACAACAAACTAAATGAATGATTGTACACGTCGACTCATTTAAAAAATACCGAAATGTCGATAGTAAGACAGTGAACGGTGCCGGGGATTGGGAAGAGATGTGTGAGAGAAAAAGAACGGGAAGTCTGGGCAGGATGGAAGAGGGAATTTTGTTTCTTTTTTACGTAAAGAGAAAAATAGAACTGATGCACAAACTATTCACGGCTCTCTCGTCTGTCTTAGTGAAATCGATTTTTATCTGACATTCCACAAGGAAGAAATATTGTCGTTATTTGTTGTTGGCGCGACAAAGATACGTGTACTATTAATAGTTGGGCTTATGGCTGTGACAAAACCGGGAAACTATCAGGCTGTTTAACAAAAAAACTGCTGAGTTTATTTTATGATTGACACTTGAATCGGTTTTCAAATATGAAAACATTTTCTATATATTTAATGTTATTTATTTTTAATCAGAAACAGTTTAGTTTAAGATTCTGGTATTTTTTTATTTGTGTGACTTCAAGTGGTTCAAAATGCAGATGTACGTATATATGACGGATTTATTGATTCAGCTTTTTTATTGAAATTCAGTCAGTCACTGCACAGATTTTAGTTACAAACATTTAAAAATGTATGTTTCATTTTTAGAAAACCCAAAGAATGGTCAGTCAAAAATCATTAAAAGGGATGAAAATTTCAAAGGTCTTATATATACGATTCAAAACCTGATTTAGAGCATTTTCAGAAGTTCCAATATGCTGACCAGAAAAATTTCAGGTCACTTAAGAGGGAATGGCGAGAGAATAACGCTCAATAAATAGTTTCTCTCTGAATAGGAAAGAAATATGTTTAGCACTATTAAACTAGTATAATCCAGCAATCGGCTCATTGGGTGGTTGCGGCGGAGAAGTCAAAACATCAATTCAATTCAGCTGTGGGATACTGACTTTAAGCACTTGGCAGAAAGCAATTACATGAAACATGAGGAGCTAGTTTAGGTATCGTATAAAAATTAGCATTCAGTTAAGTGAATATAGTTTGTTGATTTATAGGACTCCTTCGATGTTATTTAATCAGTTAGAGCTGACGACTTTATTTCACTTTGGCAGTTGACAACCTGTATTTCCTACAGATAATAATTTTTCTCATATTTTTCGACCAATTTCTTACAGGCAAAAATCCTAATCGGGGACAAACTGAGCGTACGATGAATATACATATTCTTTGAATGAAGAAACGTTCAGGAAAAGAATTGATGACGTGTTGTCAAGTGGAACAAATATACAGCGACCAAGCGTGGAAAATGTTAACTGAATAAAGTATTGTATTTTTTTAACGAGTTCTTTTTTCAAATAACTCGGCAATTCACGTTGAGCTACCTGATAATTTGTCTGCGTATGTATATTAAATCGATAAAAATCTGCTAAATTTTCATTGTATGATAATAACGTGTCAAGAACGTTTGTACCTCGATAGAGTTGCTTGCAGTTTGGTAGATGAGACAGTCGCTTATTCCTTATTAGCCCCAGTAAAAGCGAACACATGTAGAAGCGAGGTTCTTGAATGTTCATTTCAAACGAAATAGACAAACGCTAACCACGATTAAAGCAAAGCAATTATTCTTCTGTAACAAACGAAGCTAAATTTAAGAAATGCATTTTAGTCTCATGTTGATTACCAATTTTCCAAAAATAACACATCCGACCAAATAAACAAAAACAACCTAATAACGGGAGAAAAGAATATTTCTGTTAAAAACGAAAATACTAATCGAATAATGATGACAATGATCGATCTCAAAATTTAAGATACTAAATATCTTGTGTGCACCTACAGATTGGAGTTTGGAGGGAGAAATCAGCGATCTGAGTTCGAATTCCGCTCGAATCTTTTACGCTCACTTTCGTACCAATATTCTTGGGAACAATAAGAAACAATCTGTTCTCACCACCAGATGTGGGTTAAATAGTAAGGTAGACTAAACTCTCTAGCTGTGTCTGGAAACTAGCCTGGTAGAAGGACAACTCTGAATTCAAAACCCAGGTAACTGGGGCTAAAAGTTGCTTAGACATGAGGTGCCTGTTAAAAAAAAACAAAAAACAACAACAACAAAAAACACGATAGATTTTAATAACTGCGGATGATGCCACTGGATAGTGACTATTTGGCCCAAGGAAATATTTTGAATTATTTTCATTTACCGCTGACTAATTTTGTTTAAGTGAATCATAAGTGTTTCATCTTATCTGAATTTCATCAGTATATACCAAAAACAATGTCTAATATAAAATACTTTTATCAAAACCAGTAATATTAATAAACAAGAAATGAAGGAAAAAAAGCAAATTAATTTTCATGTTTGCTTAGAAGAAAATCAGACATGGCTTTATAATGATAGTGAAAGGCTATATTTTCTAATTATTCGCAAGCGTTATGTCTCGTACGTCACTGAAGTTCTCAGATTTTGAATTTTAAGACTATTCTAGAAAATATCCAGACTAAAACTGAATTAAATTTATGTGGAAGTGATATTGACAACAAACAACTTGTTTCATTGAGGTGGAGGATCAGTAACTGTAGTTTTGACTAAGAGATTCAAAGAAACTAGAACAGTTTGTGTTAAGGCAAAACTGAACAAGCCCAGCTGGGAAGAGAGAGAGAGAGAGAGAGAGTGTGTGTGTGTGTGTGTGTGTGTGAGTGAAAGAGAGAGAGAAAATAAACATCAGTAGACAGAATGAAAAATGTTTTTTGACACCTGATTTGGAATTTATAACAAGCTAGCAGAAAAGTTCTGCAGCATGAACCCCTTTCCTAACTGTAAATTTCTCGCACCTACTACATTACCACTTTTATATTTTTTATTTAAAAAGTTCTGAAATATATTATACCCACCCTCTCTCTTTCTCTCTCTCTCTCTCTGTCTCCCCCATAAATCAAACATTTACATAAAGAAATCTGTAAAACCTCAGCTATCAAGAGGTAGGCAAAGTGATAATTTGTATAAGTCTGTTACTTTCGGGTTTGCTATTACAGAGCAGATGTAATTCTTTGTTTCCCTATATTAAATATAATTTTACCCTTGGTTTTAACTCAACATTTTAAATATATACGTTTTCTATGTCATCATTATTTTTTTATTTTGCTCTCAAAGTTTTAAAATTAAATTTGGTAATAGATCACATCCATGTCGGCAAGAGAGAATTTTCGATATAAAATGTCAAATATAATTTTAATTCGAATATTGTTGGATTTTTATTCTTCATTTTTTTTTATCCACCTCGCTTTCTAATAAAAGTGTTAAATATCAAATAAAATTAAGATGAAAGAAAAACCATGAAATAGGTTCAATATAATTTTACAAAAAACATATATACTGGTCACTTTTAAGCACTTATCTTTCTTTTCTTGTTCACTGGTAATGAAAATTCGATTCATTACAAAAATTCTAAAGAAATAAAACCGTTGCTAGATCGAAAACTGACTTCAAATTCTTAAACTAAATGGAATTTGCTGGTGACAAATTATCTTATGGAATTCAGAAGCAAGGTTTATTTGAAATGTTTATCACTTGGACAAACTGTTAGTAAATAAAGAAACAGGAAGTGATTTTTACTTAATTTACTTAATTTTAATTTATTAAAAAGTACAGAATAGGATTGGAGATTTTGTTCTATAACAAAATTTGCAGACGAAAATGGAAACAGAATTCATTCAATGTACACTGTATTCCTTAAACTTCTCACATTTCGACTCTCATTTTTTTTCATTTAATTCAACTTTCTCTGGCTGGTTCGTGGTTCCAAGTATTTCAATATAAATCTTCTATAAAATTGAATGGATTTCAAATCAGAATCGCTCTTTTTCTATGTCAGGAAAATAACGAAAGTTCATCTGAAATTTAAAAATATGCTTTGATAACTAAATTAGGATGATTCTAGTGTAATAAGAACATATGAGTGTTTGAAATTATAAAGGATTTCAGTAGAAAATATGAGATGTATGAGAAAACTAGCATCATCAAAAACAAATTGTCATTTTAAAAGCAATGGAACAAATGATGAAGATCCCTACGGCAAAGAAGAAATTAAATTCTTGGATACGAGATAAAGCCGACGACAATACAGTATATGTCGTTATCTCTGTGTTTATATGTGGGTGATAATAATAATAATAATAATAATAATAATAATAATAATAATAATAACAGACAGAGATCAGCTCCCCAAAATCCATATGACGAATTCCAACAAGCACATCGTGAAAATATACAACTCTGCTCTGGAAACATTGTTAACAGAGAAACCACCGGGAAACATCACAGAAGTTAACTACGTCATATACGCAACAGCTTTAGCAGCGACTCGGAAGCTTGGGGTCAAGACAATAAATAAAATTAGCAGACCCAGAGAACCAGCTTGGAAAACAAAACTGATACGAGAGATAAAACAAATCAGATGTGAGCTTTCTATATTAGATGAGCTCACCAGAAACCCTATTTCCACACGTAAGTGCAAAAAAGATCAAGCGGAAATATAACATTTAATCCCTAATTGACATTCTATCAATCAAGGAAATGCTGAAGCAGAAACTTCAGCTAAAGGCACAGAGAACAAGACGATACGAAAAACGTTGTAGGTTCTATCGCCAAAATAAAATATTCCGAATGGATCTTAAGAAATTTTACAGGGAAATTGGAAAAACACCTATACATGTCGAAAGGCCACCATCGATTGATAATGTACAGACATTTTGGGAAAATATTTGGAGCAACCCAAAGGAATATAACCCAAATGCAGAATGGATCCGGCGTGAAGAAGAACGAATGCTGGATACACCTCTGCAAGAAAGGGAAAATATATCCACAGATGATGTTAGGCAAGCTCTAACGAAATCCCAAAAATGGAAATCCCCAGGAAATGACAAGTTGCCCAATTTCTGGCTTATCATCTCTCATCTATCCATGAAATTCTTGCAAAAACATTATCAACGCTTGTAAATAATCCCAATAAAATCCCGGAATGGATTACTGAAGGTATTACGTACCTCATACCAAAAACAACTGAAACAGACAACCCAAAAAATTATAGACCGATAACACGTCTCTCCACAACGTATAAGTTGATCACGTCTGTACTGACGAACCGTACTTATTCCTTTTTCGGATGCAGAAGAGGTTCATATGGCTGCAAAGATCAACTACTGATAAATAAAATGATCCTGGAAAATTGCAGGAGACGACGTAGAAATCTTAGCGCAGCGTCGATTGTTTATCGTAAAGCCTTTGATAGTGTTCCACATTCTTGGATCCTTAAGACTTTGGAAATGTACAAAGTCTCCCCTGTCGTAGTAAATTTCCTTAAGCACAGCATGGGAATGTGGAATACCAAACTATACCTTAGTCACACCGGGGGCACTGCCATATCCAACCGTCTGAATATCCGACGTGGAATCTTTCAAGGAGACTCTCTGTCACCCCTTCTGTTTTGTTTATCCTTAATCCTTCTTACACATGAACTGAACAACAGTAGCTATGATTACAAAATAAATAAGAAAATATTCAATCACCTACTCTACATGGATGATCTTAAACTCTTTGCCAAAGACGACAATGAGTTGAAAGGCCTCCTCAATATTGTAAAATACTTCAGTGATGACATAGGTATGGACTTCGGATTAGATAAATGTGCAAAAGTAACATTCAAGAAAGGTAGAATTACAGAAACACCCTTAATAGATTTAGATATTGTCACAATGATTAAAGAACTGGAGCATGATGAAGCTTAAAAGTAAGTATAGGAATTAGCGAAGGAGATGGCGCACAACACTCCCAAATGAAGGAGAAAATAAGAAAAGAGTACTACAGGCGTGTACGTCTGGTACTAAATACTGAGCTAAACTCAAAAAACAGAATATCAGCCATAAACACATTGGTTGTCCCTGTGGTGCAATACAGCTTTAATGTCCTTAATTGGACCATAGCTGAAATTAAGCGAATGGACGCCAAAGCTGATGTTGATCGTCTGTATGTGCCCAGGTCCGAAGGAGGCAGAGGATTAGTTCAACTAGAACTGTCCTACAAAACTACAACAATTGGCCTCCAAAGATACTTGGAAGCTACAGAAGACTGGATGATGGTATGCGTCAAGGAACATGAAAGTAGTAAGCGTCTTTACTCCGTAATAAAAGAATCCAACAAATTCAAAATGGAGTTTCAAATGAGCGTAGAGATGCAAGTACAGCACAATACACCGGCTGAAACTGCAAAATACTTAAAAAAAAAAAGACAGCAAAGGCCAATGCAACCGACCAGATACAGAAGCGATGGCAAGATAAACCGCTTTATGGCCAATACTCTGCCCGTACCAAACAAGCTGACGTAGACAAAACCCGTACCCATCAGTGGCTACGTAGTGCAGGGTTGAAAGCTGAAACTGAAGGTTTTATCCTTGCTGCACAGGACCAATGTTTGCTAACTAGGAATTATCAAGCACATATACTAAAATATTGTGTCAGCCCAAAATTCAGATTCTGTGATAAATATCCAGAAACGATTGATCATCTTGTATAAGGTTGCACGATATTGGCATCCACTGAATATAAAACACGGCATGACAGAGTGGGCCAATATCTGCACTGAAAAATCTGCAACTTCTACGGGAAGGAAACTGAAAGAAAATGGTATGAACACCACACAAACCCGGTTACGGAGATAGGACCTGTTACAATTCTACGGGACTACACAATACACACTGACAGAACAATCAAGGCCAACCGACCAGATATTGTTATTAAAGACCACAAACAAAAACGATGCCTCCTTATTGATATGGCATTCCCTGCTGACTGCAATGTATCTTTGAAGATATTCAAAAAGTTGTCAAAGTACAAGGACCTTGAAATAGAAATCTCGAAAATGTGGCATATGGGAACATCAACAATCCCTGTTGTAGTTGGAGCCCTAGAACGGGTTGGAAAAGATTGCAGTAGACTAATTGAAGGGATTCCTGGAAGTCCATGCTTCAAGGAGATACAAAAGATTTTCCTGACAAATACAGCCCACACTTTACGAAGGGCTTTATCTAGGTAATATATATATATATATATATATATTTTTTGTCAGAGGAAAGTGTCATGATGCTATTTCTAACCTTAGTTCCCTGGGCGAGACCCGGAAAGAAATGTGTAAACGCCAGAAATCAAAGAAAATAATAATAATAATAATAATAATAATAATATATATATATATATATATATATATATATATATATATATATAAAAACAGATTCATCTACTGATAAACAGGTTAATTTATCATTGCTTTACTTTTGAAATCAGCATTTCGGTTGAAATTTTCTCTACAATCTGTTATGATACATAAATCTGAAATATGCTCGCAGACAAGCAACTTTGCCAGATGTTAAAACGTCATTACCGAAATAAACCATTTCCCAATATATTGGATAATTATGTACTCTAACACCTTTCTTTCATTGAATTTAAGGCCTCGAGATATCGGGCAATCCTAAAGAAAAACGTTCGCTTACACGCAAAACAATGGAAAGTGTTTCACCGTTAGCGGTGACACATGTTAATTCAGTAATGGTTAATATAAATAGGATTTTCAGTTAAAATATATTCTTAAGTTTCTAATTATTCGCTGTCAATGTCTGACGTTTTGGGAGTTTGACCGGCATGGCAGGTTTCAGTTATGGAGTAAAAATTCCTTGGAGAGATATAAAAGATCAGAAAATTTATTTATGCCTGGAAGGTACTATTTGCTTTGATACATTGATAAATACTTATTTACTTAGAGATAGATAGATAGATAGATAGATAGATAGATAGATAGATAGCCAGACTAAGCAAAATATAAACACTTCAAATAGAATGTAATGAATCTATGCTCGTTGAACTCAGACGATACAAAAAATGAAAACGATTTGTAATGTGAGCAATTTCCCTTCAAACCATTTTGGTCAGATTTTAGTCGAGCGTAACAAATGAGAATAGTGTATCGAGACAAAAAAAAAAAGAAATGAAAAGAAACCAACTAAAAAATAGAAGCGGAGTTTAGAGGGAAATAACTGAATGAAAGAAAAAACGAAAATAAAACAAATGTCAAGCAAAATTAAGGTAACTATACGTGAAAAATGAAAAAGAAAGAGCAAAGAACGTAAAAATACGTAGATAATAAATATAAACAGAAAGAAAGAGAAAATAAATGAATAGAAAAGTGAATAAAATAAAGTCGGGCAGTGACGAGAAGAACAAATATAGGTCAATTATATAATCAAGTTTGAATAACGAAAGAAAAGTAGAATAGGAAAAATAAAAGACTGAACGTTTTGTGATAAAATTGAGTAAAATGATAGTTAAGTATCAATCATTACAGCTTAGCCTTTCCCTTACAGCTGTAAATATTTTTTTTCATGTGCCATCCACTTTAACGTAAAATTCAAGATATAACTTAACAGAATGAAACTGAGCGTTTTGGCGCGAAATCAAGAACGTTGAAGAGGGCAAACCAAACTCCGGAACGGATAATATTGGATGAATAATCTAAAGACATTGCAAAATAAATAAATAAATAATGAATATAAAAACACAGAGAAAAGCATATACAAATAAAAAAAGAAAAAAAATTAAAAAATTATTGAGAAAAAATTGCGGGAAATACAAATTCTGTAAATCTAAATTACATCTAGATTGCACTTTGTGAGAGGTAGCCATATTGTGTTTGAGATGTAAAAGAAAGATAGAAAGAAAGAAAGAAAGAGAAAAGGAAAGAAGTAAACGTGATGGAGAGAGAGAGACACACACACACACACACACACAAAAATGCGCTTTTTGTAATTAATTTCACAAGTTTTATTCAATTTATTTGACACTCTGATGAAGCATTTAACTCTTCTTTTTAAAATTCAATTATTTTCTTTAACAAAATTTTGGTTGCGATTTGAGGAAGAATTTACCTTTGGTAAAGATTCATTGATTGATGGTAGATGCTGACTTAGTTTAGTTTCGTCTGACTAAGGGTCATCTTAAGCAAGGAACTAATTAATGTAAGTCTCTGAAGAGATTACGAAGAGATCCAGTTGGTTTTATTAAATCAAGATAAAACTACATTTTAAGAGAGGGAACTGAAAACTTCTCAGCCTGACCAAGAAGGTATTCCAAAATAAATACCGATGTTTGTTCATTTGCTTAGATTTTGCGAAATAAATCGTTCTGATTTTTATTTAACCCGTTCTGAGCTCAATGGTTAAGCTTCATCAAAATTATTTCCTTGGAAGATAAATGTAGTGTTAATGTTTAAAGTCATGTGAATTAATCTGAAAGTAGGCGTTTATGAGAAGTACCGTTTTACACTGAAATAACTGCAGACAATTCCTGCATTAAGGTTCATACGTTATGGCTTCAGCTAAAATAAAATGTAAATAAATAAAACCAAAACTGAACTGTGAAATTTTAGATGAATTTCAAATTACTTTTCTTATTTCATTTTTCTTATCTCTTTTCTTTAGTAGGTTCATCTCATTACTTGCCCAATATAAAAACCCATTGATAAAAATTTTAAAAATTCGCGATCAGTCTGTTTTACATCCTATTTTAATTGTCCCTCTCTTCGTTAGTACGCGCGAACATTACGCCCTGCCAATACCTCAAATAATGGACGATTCTGTTTGGAATGCGTGGAAAGAGGGGAAAAGACACTACATGTTTTCAGTGAGAAAATGAAAGAAAGAAAGAAAGAAGAAAGGAAAAATAAATAAATAAAGAAGGGAAGAGGGAAGAGAGAAGTGGAGAGAAAGCATTAGATTAGATAAGAGCAAGTACTACACGTTGGTCGGCGACAGTCTTTTTAATGCACAGTTTTCATGGCACACGCAATCTTCATGGCATCGTCCTAATCCAACAGCGTCGTTTCATCTTACTGCCATATCAAGTTGAAACACCGATTCTCATCCGATCATCAGCGACATTGAGCCTAGTCAGCACCTAGATGGGTGACCGCTTGAGAATACCAGAGACTGTAAGCATTGGGGCGGCGGATTGTATAACGGATAACATTTCGGAATGAGAAATCGGAGAACGAAGTTCGGATTCCAGTCGAGTTCGTTAGAGTCCCTAACGCGCAAATACTATTGGGAAAAGTATGAAGCCATCTATTCTCCCTCAAACTGAGTAAATATCAGGATAGACTGAGCCTCATAGCCATGGTTGGCAACTTGCCTAGGAGAAGGATAAGTATGAATACACAACACATTGGATGAGCTTATTACAGGAGCCAAAGGCTAGCATGCAGCTGGGAAATAGAAAACTTCTATTAAAAAAGCCTGTGATTATAGCATCATCTGGAATGTGGCGCACGGTGCATCGGTACAAGATATGGCACTGTGATGGGGAGAATGTGCATATGTGGCACCATTTACCGAGGCAAAAAAAAAAGAAAAGAAAAGAAAAGAAAGAGAGGAAGGAAAGAAAGGAAAAGAGGGGCGAGACCCAAAGCGTGGATGATAAGTAGGACACCCACGGCTATGGATAAAGGATATTTTGATAAGTAACAAATGGCGAAGAGTGTCATTACAATGGCAGGGAAATTCTGAGTGGATAAAGGAATCGGATGTGTTCTGGCGACGGGCTGGTATTATCGGGGATACATAAACAAACCGCTAATGCGGGAAGACATCTGATTAAGCAAACCACAGACCGACTAGCCAAAGAAAAAATCCAATTGAAAAATGTTATTTTGATAATTGACATAAAACAGGTGAACTACAGGGCTTTGGATAGATATGAAAAATTAATTGTGTCAAAACCGCATACAAGGTGACGACTGACGGTTTTCTTTCAACAGAACATCTTTAGCCTGCGATAATAAAACTATGTTATCAGAAATGTGCGCCAAAGAATGAATGGAACCATGGAAATGTTTTTTTTCCGAGGCGATGGACGATTGTGTTGTGTCAAATAGACCACCCATTCTGATAATTAGCGATAAGATGACTGACGAAGTCAAGGTGAGAACAAGAGTTACGACCACCACCGATCGCATTGTTCTAATTGCAACCAGAGAAAATGAGAGCTGCGATTAAAAGAAAGAAAAGGAAAAGAAAAAGATAATTTTTTTATTAAGCAAGATATTTTTTTTCCTGAAACAAAGCCCGCGGAATCGCACAGGCTCGGCTAGACATCATTGGCCGAGTGGTGATCACGTGACGCAAGGAGGAAACTGTCGCCGCCCATCTAGAGGATGGGTATGAGAGGTTGCTACGAAGAAGTGGGGAGGGCAGTTCAAGCCCCTCTGAAGTATGGTGAGAAGGTGGGAGTAAGAGAGGGCTCCCAAAAATGGAAAGAAGTGGAAAATTCCTAACCAAAAATAAGAGAAGTGATAGGTATTTAGAATTATCGAGGAACCCCCGGCGCCGACAAACCCACCCCGGTTTTGGTCGGCGTCTATATAAGCAAGGCCGCAGCGAGCAGAAATCATTTCAGTTTAGTTCGAGTTTAGTTCCAGTTCGAGTTTTAGTTCCAGCAGACAGTTCCAGCAGAGAGTTCCAGCCTCGCATTGGCTGACCAAGATTCTCGCAAATTCCGGACTCCTCTTCAATCCAAGAACAATTATTTTGAAGAGCGACTTAGATCCAGACCACCAAAATAAGTATTTTTCGACTTTCGCCGGAAGACACACCGAAAAACCAATTTCTTAAAGAGCAAACAACTTGAAGTGTTAAAACTCGCCTAACGGAAAACAACGTGTCACAATCCATAGAACGGGTCGGGAGATAGATGCAGTCCTATGTATCGAACAACTAGACATAAAGTTTGTTATCCTTTTTTTTTTTGATACCTTGAACTTTTGAGTTATCATTTTATTTTATTTTATGCATATTTGTGCGGTGTCACCCCCGTTTGAACCCGATTTGCATTACGGCCCCAACTACTGATTGATTTCGTCTGCCTAAGATCAATTCACAACGTGGGTAGGCAGACTGGAGAACTATGCAGTTACTTTGGTAACCAGACGTTAGAAGCGAGTTGGGAACGACGAGGCTGATATCGAATCTAACCAGATTCCCATCCGAATCACCAAAAGGTTAGAACGTCACATTTGGGTGCCGCGACCGATACCAAGCCAGTTGGTCGTCACAGGACGAGACAACACGACTGACGCGACAGGCGGACGTCACGTTTGGAGCGGCGACACCCGAACGAAGCAGCGAGGAGCGAGCGAAGGCTGTGTTTAGGGACGTCACACATAGTAGGGCAAATTCAGTTGACCACTTTAAATAATTCTCTTGTGAGTTATTTAAGAAGTAAGTGGGTACAAATAAAAAGATTTGAAATTGAGAACTTTTCCTTTTCACTGAAACAGACGTTAGACTCTTATATATTCCCTTCTTTGTTTCTTTCTTTTATTTTCTCACTGAGAAAGTAGCGTCTCTAAAATGTCTTTCCGCTCGATCAAAACGGAATAGTCTATTATTTATAAGGCATTGGCAGGCTACTTTGAGTCTCGAAACTGACTCATAAACTATTCGATTCACAAGATATGAATGGACATAGAGTATTCTAATTTCTCCACAACTAAATATTCATGATGTAATTCAATGTGATATACTTGGCTGCAACAAATCGGACAGCGATTTCTGACCACTCCCCTTTTAACGTCCACATACGATAAAACTTCAGAAATATTGCAGGTAACATCCAAAGATAAACTTGTTCATAAATTGAGACTATATCTGAAATAATTTGGAGTCGTTTGTCATTTCTTTTGATATCAGAAATCAAATAATGATTTCAATTATCATAATTATCTGCTTGATCGGGAAATTTCTTTATCTTCTGTAAATTTGTTCCTTTCATTTCGATCCCAAAATGCTCATTCTTTTAGAATGATGCTAATATGCCTATTGCCTTCTAATATTTTTTATTCTCTTTTACGACAATGTACTGTCTATTTAAACTTTATGTCAGAATGAATCTCTTGATATGAAATGCTATATTGAACATTACGAGTTTTCAAGGAAATTTTTCAAGAAACTATTAACGCTAATGATCTGTAGAACTTGGAGTCGCAGTGTAAGATAAAATGTAAATCGGAAAGGCTAGTATAAAAAAAAAGGTTCGACGGCGCTGGGAAGATAATGATTGAGTCAGAGACATACGGAATATGGCAGAAAACAATTCTTGTGGCAAAGAAGAAGATATCTGTCGAATCGATGGAAACCTTAAGAAATAGGCTCTCCGTAATTTGGCAATGCGTAGAAGATTTGGATGGGGGGTGGAAAAGTAGGTTCAAGTGGATTGGCAGGATTTGTGAAGAAGATTAGAAAGGAAAAGGGAAAGTAAAGTCGGGGTTGAAGAGAATACGCAAATGAGGATGGGAAAGGGGTTGCGCTGCATAAGGGCCCCAAGCAGTTTTTAAATGTTGTGGGTTTTATGTGAAAAGTGGAGCGGGTGGGAAAGGAGTGGGAAGGAAGACGTTGAGGAAGGGAAGGTTAGGAGGGAGGGAGGAAGGAAGGAATAAAGGAGGGAATGAAGAAAAGGATGGTAAGGAAGGAAGGAGATGAGAAAAGGTACGAAAGAATGATGGAACTAAAGTTAAGGGAGAAGAAAAGGTAGAATGAACAAAAGAAATAAAAATGAAAGGAAGAAATAAGGAATAGATGAAGAAAAATAATCTGAACAGGGAACACAGATAAAGTTAATGGAAGAGTGAAAGAAAAATATCGAGAAGAATAAAAGAATTGAAGACAGGAAGAAAAAAATGATAAAAGAAAATGAGCGATGTAAGAAGAAAAGAAAACGATTGGAGGAAAGAAAGAAAAGCGGAAGGAAAGGAGGAATGAAGCAAGTAAAGAAAGAAGAAGTAGGAATGATAGGGGGAAAGTGAAAAGGAAAAAGATAAAAAAAAGAAAAATCGGGCAAAATTGAAATAAAAAGACTAAAAGCAGAGCCAAAAATGAAAGAAAAAAACGATGTAATGAAAGAAAGAAATTAGAAATCAATCAACAACGAAAAGTTGAAGAAATAGAAGGAGGAAAAGAATTAAGCGAAAGACGAATGAAAGCAAGGAAAAAATGAAAGGAGTATCATGTAAGATGGAACGAAGGAAATTAAAAAGAATATGGTGATAAAAGAAAGAAGGAAAATAAACTGAAAAGAAAACAAAAGCAGAAGGAAATGATGAAAAACAAATAAATGAAAATAAGAAACAATGAATGAGATTGTGAAAAATGTTAAAATAATTTACAGATAAAGGAATTAAATAAAAAAATGAAAAAAAAGAATGCAAAAAACAAAAAGAACGAATTATTGAATAAAAAAATGAATGAAAGAAAGGAAGAGAAAAGAGAAGAAAAGAGAAAATGTTTGTATTGCACAAAGATGATTAGGGTAAAAATGACGATAAAAAGACAGAAATATACTAGTGAGTTAATAAAGCAAAAAGAAATGAAGGAAGGCGGTATTTAAGGCGATTATGAAAGAAATCGAGAATATAGATCCGATAGAAATGATCATATTTTTATGAGGGATATTAGCAATTGAATATAAGATGTTTAGGAATGTTATGAACGTCTCTTATTTTTGCACACGGAGATGTATAGCAAACTTGGTGGATAAAGCAGTTGAGTATTTTCCAGTTGTGTCGTAGGTCGAGCCCAACTATGCTAACAGATTTCGAATGGTGATTTTTCAGTAGGTGTTGTAAAAAGGTTTCCGGGATTGGAAAATTGTTACCTCAGAATTTTTAACTATTAATTATAAAAAAAATATTAGGATTTGTGCATCTCTTTACGTAAATCTA